AGTGTGTCACCACTGTTTCGTATAATATTATGATTAATGGAGTGGCTGGTGGACAGTTAACCCCATCTCGTGGCCTCCGTCAGGGAGATCCATTGTCCCCGTATTTGTTCTTAATCTGTGCAGAGGGGTTATCATTGTTATTACAGCAGGCTCAGGATAGAGGTGATATGCATGGTATAAGGGTGGCGAGAGGAGCACCTGCTCTCTCACATCTATTTTTTGCGAATGACAGCCTCCTGTTCTTTAAGGCAAATGTGGCTGAGGCACAGGCAGCTAAACGGTGTCTTACTTGTTATGAGGAGCTTTCTGGTCAGACTATTAATTATAATAAGTCAAATATATGCTTTAGCAGGAACACTCAGCAAGCTGAGAGAAATATTGTGGCGGCAGTATTCGGGGTTAATCAGGCACAAAATTTTGGAAAATATTTGGGGTTGCCAGCGTTTGTGGGGAGGAATAAGTGAGCGGTGTTTGCTTATGTGGAGGATAAAGTGAGACAGAGAATAGGCTCTTGGAATAAGAAACTTTTGTCTCGAGCGGGTAAAGAGATTTTGTTAAAATCAGTGGCGCAGGCAATGCCAACGTTTACTATGAGTGTGTTTTTGTTACCTGACTCACTATGCATGAACCTGGAGCGTGTTATGAACAGGTTCTGGTGGCGAAATGGGAAGGATGGGGGAGGAATACATTGGCTCGCCTGGGATAAGATGAGTATACCAAAAAAGTATGGGGGTTTAGGTTTTAAAGATTTGAGAGCTTTTAACGTGGCTATGCTGGGAAAGCAGGGCTGGAGATTTATTACAGACCCTCATTCTTTAGTGGCAAGAATATATAAAGCTAGATATTATCCAAACACGAATTTTTTGAATGCCTCAGTTGGAAATAATCCAAGCTTCCCATGGAGAAGTATAATGGCTGCCCAGGGACTCATTGTTCGGAATATCAGGCGGAGGATTGGAAATGGTGACTCAATCATGGTTTGGGGTGATCCGTGGCTGCCAAGTGAATCTGAACCAAGAATTTTGACAGACAAACCGCCCCACCTTGGGGAAGTAAAAGTTTCTGGGCTAATTGACCCGGCAACATTAACCTGGGACATACCTTTGCTTAATGAGCTATTTTCTGCGGGGGAGGTAGAGCGGATTTCGGCTATTCCAATTAGTCCTGCCTATGATGATTTGTGGTATTGGCATGGGGACCCCAAAGGAGTTTATACAGTTAAAGCGGCCTATCGTAATTTAATGGGAACCATTATTGCCCCTCCGAATTGTTTCACATCTTGGAACAAAATTTGGAACCTTAAGGTTCCCCCAAAGTGGAAAGTGTTTTTGTGGAGAGCTGTGAGAGGAGTGCTTCCCACCACCATGAATTTATATAATAGGAGGGTAGATGTCCCTTTAGCATGCCCTTTGTGTGCTCTAAATTCTGAAAATATTTTACACTCTTTAGTACAATGCGAATTTTCTAAATGTGTGTGGAATATTTTGGGCTTTGTTATGCAGAGTGCGGTGGATGAGGATTTTGGTGTATGGCTTGAATTGTTGCTACGAAAGGTTGATGAAAAACAATTTACTACTATGGTGGCCATTATGTACAATATTTGGGCTCAACGGAATACGGCGGTGTGGGAACGTAAGGTGGGTAGGCCACGGATTGTGTACGAAAGGGCGTTGGCAACATTGTCGGCGTGGTCCTCGGCAACGGGCCGTACGGAGAGTCAGCAGCCACTGCCTGCCGCTACTGCCGCCACTGGGCAGTCCGGCACGCTGCCACGCTGCTACATTGATGCAGCATTCTCGGCCACAACACGGAAAGCGGCGTACGGTTTATTCCTCCAGGATGCGAACGGAAATTTTATGGCAGCCAAGAATGGTCCTCTACCGCTTTGTCAGGGACCCTTTATGGCGGAGGCATATGCATGTAAGGAGGCCCTGTCCTGGCTTAGGGATCGTGAAATCACGGAGGTGGAGTTACGATCAGATTGTTCAGACCTGTGTCACGCTCTTGGTAATTCAGCGACGGAGTTTCGCACTTATGAAGGTTTAGCTGTTTCAGCATGTCGGGATTTAATGAGTTTTTTTGTTTCTTGCTCTGTTGTTTATATTCCTCGCACTTTAAATTTTTTAGCGCATTCGTTAGCTCAGTCAACCTCTACACAGGCATACTCTATGTTATGGGAGGACACCCCTCCTGCCTTTATTTCGGCTTTGATTGATTAATATATACAGCAGTTTACTTTCAAAAAAAATAAACATCAACAAAAAAAATATTTCATTAAAAATTCATAACAATATTGAACAATAAAATTTATAATAAAAGACTTGATAAAATAAAATATTTAAAAATATAATTACAAGTTGCATAAAATAAAAAAATAAAAATCTAATATTAATAATTAATAATATATATAAAATTATACTTGATATATTCAAATTGTTGTTGCGAACAGTAATTCGCTATTCGTAATAATCTGCTGTTAAAAAGAAGGAAAAATATATATTACGAATATAAACATAAAAAGAATAAAAATCAAAATATATAAGTATTTATATGAATATTATGAAACATTTACTGAAATTTGACGATGAAAAATTTGCTTTGTTCATGTATTTAGAGAAAGTTAGGGATAAAAAAATTCATAGAATAAAATAAAAATCAATATAAACAAGTAATAATGCAGTAAAAATAATATTATTTTGAATTTTTAGATGAAAATTCTAAAGTTTAGGAGAGAGAGAAAATTGGTAGAGTTTAGGTATGAGGAAAATATAGGATAATGAAGAAGAAAATAATTTTATTGAATTTAGATAGGTTTATAGAGTTTAAATAGGAAAAAAAAAACAGAGTTTAAATAGAGAGAGAAAACATTCAAAGTTGTTAGAAAGAAAATTTGAAATCTTGGGGTTGATGGTTGGATTTCAACTATTTATATTTGAGAAGAAAAGTCTACAAAAGTCTTAAAATTAAAAAGTCTACAAAAGTTCATTACTTTTTGAATACCACATGACTTTTAAAGACTCTTTAAAAGTCTTAATCGAATACCACACGACTTTTAAAAACTTTTTAAAAATCTTGATTGAATACCGCCTAACTTTTAAATACTCTCTAAAAGTTTGAATTGAATACCTCCAAACTTTTAAAGTTCATAAAAGTCTTTAAAACTCTATAAAAGTCGTGATTGAATACACCCCCCTTAAATTTTCTGACTTCGTTGGACTATATCCTGGTTCTTATGAACTCATTTTTAAGATCATAAAAGATAAATTAAATATGTCTAATTCCGAGACATCAAATTATACCCTTCCACAATAAGTTAAGAGTTTGACTCTAATTCTAGATAAAATTGGTGGAGCTTATATCCAATTTGAAATATTAATTATTCCAAATGTTATATTAAATAATACATGTGGAACACGTATTTATTAATCTTTATAGCTATTCATTTATTAATTATTTGTAATTAATTAAATGACATTGTAAATCATTTTTCTTTTAAAATACCAATGACGAAGTCACGAAACCCAAGTACCAGCTTACTAGTACTTCACAAGAAATTTTACCAATTTAGAAATTTTCAATTGATCCTCCAACAACACTTGCAAACAAAATTATATTTTCTTTTTTACCTTGTTGACTGATACAGGTGTCAAATTATACCTGGTAGGTCGGTACAACTATGTAGACATACTTGATTCGACTGAGTATCGTACATTAGCACCGGTGCTAGTTGCATTGTATCAACTATAAGTCTACAACTCATTACCTTTGAGAAAACCTAAATAAAATATATTATACAAAATTTTATAATGTTGTTATATATATGATTATCCCGAGAGTGTGCATTAGTAAACTATACTCGTAATAACTCATAAACTACTATGGTAGGTATATTTTAAACTTAATAAAGTTAATTTTTTTTTTACCATACATAATACAACTATACTAAATATCTGTCTTTGTGACAATATCATATTTTTAAAATATTACAAAAATGATATAAGACTGTGTGAATTACATTATGTCATGAACTAACGCAATGGTGGAATCAATTATGAGTTGAGGAACAAAATTTTTTGGAGTCCTACCCTGGCCAGGGGAAGATCCTCTTAACCTCAGTTGTACGGACACTTTAAAAAATACTGTGTTTGAATCTTTATCCATTATTGGCTACTAGTAACCCAACAGGGTAGCTCAAGTGGCAAATGAGCTCTCTTTGTGGGGGAGAATTTCGGGATAACTCGGGTTTGATTCCCACAAGTGATGATTCCTTTTGGGCCAGCTTCTGTGCCTCTCGGAGCGAACCGGGTGGACCTGGACCGTTAAACGGACAGAGAAAGACCCGGACCACAATGTGTGGTTTCCACCAAAAAAAATTATTGGCTCCTAGTAGGATCTAAAGGTCATTAATAATTTATCCCCCGCGTCACAAAATATTACAATTAAAAAGAAAAAAAAAAAAAAAGACAAACAATATTTATACTTTTTCCATATAATTTTATGTGTTTGATTTGATTAATGAATCTTAATTGAAATTGTTTTTTAGTTCAATTTATATTTAAAATACATTAAAAGTGCTAAATACACAAAAAAAAAAAAAAAAATTAAAGAATACTTAAAAAAATCAAACAAAAAAGAGTTTATTTAACCAATAAATAGGAAACATAATATGTAAAATAAGACAGATGAAATATATTATATGTAAAATTATTGGGTGCATTATAAAATTATACATTATGCGTTACAGATTGTGCACATCCTGTACTTATGAGCTGTCCATGCGGACAATTGAATATATACTCTTTACTACGTTTTTTCTTTCATTTTATATAGACAGATGAAATTAATCTCCAATGTTCTCACGAAAAACCTAGTTCTCATGAGATTTAGGCTATATATATATATATATATATATATATATATATATATATATATATATATACCGCCGCCGCCACCTCCCACTGGAAAGAGAGGATGACCTGTTTATATTTTAACACAAAATGGACCACCAAGATGTATCTGTGTTGTATTATATACGAACATTTATCTAAATTCCCAAAAAGCCAAATGAACATTATCAGTATGTGAGAAGAAATACAAGAGAAAAGAAAATTATGAGCCGAGAATAAAAGCGTGTATCTCAGCCCAGCTAGAGACTGTGTAAAGAACACCAGAAAGACCTTTCCAAGTAGATGAGTCTTCTTCTTCTTCCATCCATTTCTTCTGCTTCTCAACCACAGCAGGAAACAGTGGAGTAAAAGTGAGACCAAAATGATCCCCTAATCTTTTTAGACTCGGGCTCGAGCCTATCAAGATCCCAACGTCTGCTTCAAGCAAACAAAGCACATCTCCGACTGAATCTCCGATGTAAACAGTCCGTTTCTTCTTACCATTGCCACGGCTGTCTAGTATTTTATTGAAAACTTGAAGCTTGTCGATAGGGGACTCGACCTTCGTGATTATTTCCCCCGTGGACAAAGACTCTTCGTACCTAAACTCATTTGCATGTACCTTCAGAGCATCTAAACCCCCTCCTGCAGGGCATTAGGAGCGGAGGAATAATGTTATAATCAGATTGGGAAATACACAAGATACAAAAAGAGTTCATGCACAGGGAGATATTCAAGTTGAGATTCCATAATGTAAATCAGTTAATTGGGAGGAACGTACTTGATGAAAAGGCAGATCTAATGAGATCAGCGCACCAACAATAGGAGAGGACGTGAATGTCTGCATCAAGCTTTTCATTAGTTATTATACTCTGAAAAAAGCTGGTACTACCATCTTGGAGTATCAAACGTTCCCCAGCCCGTTTTATGTCTTCCAGGTCCAAGCCTTTAAGCACTCCGCACTCAATGACCCTCAAATTTTCCCTTTTCTCAAGATCCGAGAGTTGCTCAAGTGCTTTTTGAAGACCTTCATAGTCAAACTTTTCAGCTGCATAATGTTAAAGCCTTTGTATTATAACCAATTAAATAACGCATCAGCAGATTGAAGACCATCGGGAAAGACAAAGAATTACCCTTTTCAGTGACTAACATGTTCTCAATACACTGATCATACTCTTCAATATAATGCTTGGAAAGAACTCCCCATGTGTTTCTTAGATCAGCTGCTGCTGCCATACTAGTGCTTTTATTTTCTGATTGAATTTGATTGGACTTTGAAGCTTTCATGATTGCAATTTCTGCCAATATGGCAGATGAATCAACAACAGAGAATGTCAAATCAAAATCAGAAAATAGCATCAGGCAATGTTCTGCTGGGTCGTGATATCTTATAAGAGGTATGACAGTTTTCTGACTAAGTGGCTGAGCTAAGAAAAAGTCTATCTCAAGTTTCATCGCTTGATAATAAAGCTTTTCAATGATGGCAAGCTCCTCGCCAGTCAGAGCAACACTTAATTTGTCCAGCAAGTCTTCAGTTTGCAAAGCTGATGCCTAGATACAAATGAATAAATGAAATTAACAAAATAATAAGTGAGACAATTAAATAAGATGTGTATCATCTATATGTAGTGTGTTATGCTGATATAAATCTTATTAAGTGTTTGAACTATTGAAATTAGCAAATTTTGATAATCAAAAGTCAATCGTGTTAAGAGATTACATGAAAATAAAGAAACCTGGAAACCTTCGGAGGAGTAATTCTCAATCCACTTCTTGTATGGATGATTACTTTTACCATCAAGAAGCCCCTGCAACTCCTTACCAATGTACGCATAAAGTCTCATGCAAGGTGTCATAGCACCAAGGGTATAAGCTGCCAACTTCGTTTTCTCAAAAGGAGTGGCAAGTTTACCTGGAGCTTTCACCCCTTCAACCTTCCCTGATGCTGTAGCCAACAAGAAATCCGTGTACTTAGATGTTGCTGGATTGATAGTACTCTCCTTGACCATTTCTAATCCCCATTCCTGCCCAAATAATAACACTCATTATTTTTCCCAACAAAGAAGATAAAACTTTGCATGGATACAAGTGAAAAACATGTCATTTTAATTAAAATCACCTAGCACCATCAGAAAGAAATTCCTGGGGGTTAGGACATGCAAAATGTTGATAGTTCTAGATTGAGAACTAAACACTAAAAAATGTGAATCTCACATTTAAGATAGATCAATCAATTAAGGATTCCTAACTATGTACCACCTTATGAAGAAAAAACTAAAAGTTCCTAGATTATAAAAATTATGAAGCCCCAATAGAAAAGTAATATCTGGATGAAAATAATTGCCTGAATCTAAAAGCTAATCTTGAACAGTTTTCTGGTTTTGCTTGTATTTCTTAATTTTTGCATCTGTGAAGGTTGCGGATGCTTTAAGTTGTTATTTTCGGATATGTTCAGTAATGACTTGTAACTTCAAAAGCTGCAGTAAAGCTGTTACTTGGCCAAAAGATGTGTGCAGCAATGCCCTTTAGTAGCATCACCAAAATGTTTTTTTTTTTTTTTGTTGGCACTGATCTCTACCTGTGAATTGCATCCATATTTTTCTCTTTTTGAACTCTATAAGCTTCTTTAACAACACCTTGGAAGTACTTGTACTTCCCTTATTAGATAACATCAAGTCTTTGTGATGAACTCACAAGAAGCCATAATTCAATGCAAGAAGCATATTACAAGGGTATTACAAATATATTTTAAAAACTACTACTGAATATATTAAACTCTTCAGAGAGAATGAGAAATTGAAGCTACAACTAAAGCTAGTGAGAGTAATTGAATTCTAAACAAACTATATCTCGTTTGATTTGGTTAAAACAGTGGATAAAACTCGGTGGACTAGGCTAAACAAAGCAATTAGCTTTACCAATGCACCGAGTACAGGAGCCCAGGAAGAGGGTCTAAGTTTCAAATTCAAGTCCAATTCTATAACATCAGGTAAGCAACCAGGTGCATGCCTCTCATGTATTCCTTCGGACATTGGACTAGCCTAATACCTCAATGAGACAGCACACCATACATGCCATGTGGTAAAAATAAGCAATAAAAACAATGATGCAAACACTGAGAATGTATTACCAACTGAAAGTACATAAAGCCACACAACAATTTCTTACTTGGACAAAAGAATCATGCATTTTTAATTCCTCCAGGACATCCTTTCTTAATTCACCAATCCCAATCTTTGCATCATCGTCATCTGCACATTCTTCTGCTAACTCAAACCTGCAGAACATAATCCTTTTCCCTTATGTTTTGTTCAATTTCTTATAAATCAACAAGATACCAAACCACACAGAAAAAAAAAAATATATATATATATATATATATATATATATATATATATATATGTGTGTGTGTGTGTGTCAACTTAAATTTAAAAACTAGATATAAATCCGATATTCATCTGAATTTTTCCTACTCAACGAATACAAAGCAGCACATCAAAGAGATTAGAACGAAATATTCATACTAAGCACATTACCTATCGATTAAAGGAACTGAAAAGAGTTTTTAAAATAATTTTTTAAAAAATAAATAAATAAAGAGCATACGCTTGAGCGAAGGCCTTGAGGAAATGAACGTCCTGGGCGATGTAATGTCTGAAACTCTGGATGTTGAGATTTCCAGAAGCCAAACAGATCACAAATGGAGTGTAGAGCGCAGAAGTGGCCTCCTTGTTGAACTTGATCCAACACCTCCTAGCTATGCCCACTCCTTCCGCCACCTCAATCGATAGTAGCTTCGGATTCCCCGCCACCGCCGGCTTTGGATTCGCCGATTCCATCCGACGGCGATGTTACTGCCAGTACTATTACTGTATAAGTGGTGGAAGATCGGCGGGGGAAAACGCGCAGTTGGAACTGAAACAATGAGGCATTGAATTTGACTATCGTTGATGGGGTTGAAAACGGAGATTTAGGAATTGAAAATGCTTTAACCGGCGGAAATATCCGAGCACACCTTTAGCGGTCTATGATGCACCAAAATTTTCAAAAATTAAAATGTTTTCACATTTGAAAATATTTTCTCTTAGGAGAGCTCTTTTCCAATTAGGGTCCGTTTGGAAAGCAGGAAAATGACTTCTGGAAAATAAGTCATTTTTTGGAAAACATTTTCTTTTTCGGTGTTTGATTGCATTCTAGAAAACTGTTTGTGTGTGTTTGGTTCATTTTCTGGAAAATAAGTAGAATTGTATAATTAAATATTTTAATTATTTTATTTAGAATATTACAACATGTATAATAATATATAATAATATAATAATAATTTTAAATATAATAAAAAAAATAAGTAATAATATATAAAAAAATATTATGGTGGTGGTGTAGTGGTAGTGGTGTTATTTGTTATATAATAATAATAATAATAATAATAATAATAATAATAATAATAATAATTGGTGGTGGTATGACGGTGGTGGCGGTGGTGGTGGTGGCAGTGGTGTGGTGGCGGTGGTTGCGGTGGTGGTGGTTGCGGTGGTATGGTGGTGATGTGGTGGTGGTGGTGGCGGCGACAGTGGTTGCGGTGGTATGGTGGCGGCGGCGGCGGTAGCGGTGGTAGTGGTGGCGGTGTGATGGTGGTGGTGGTAGCGGCAACGGTGGTATGGTGGTGGTAGCGGTGGTGGTGGTGGTAGTGGTGGTGGTGTGGTGGCGGTGGTATGGTGGTGGTGGTGGTGGCGGCGGCGGCGGTGTTAGTGGTGGTGGTGTGATGGTGGTGGTGGTAGCGGCAACGGTGGTTACGGTGGTATGGTGGTGGTGGTGGCGGTGGTGCTGGTGGTGTGGTGGTGTGGTGGTGGTAGTATGGTGGTGGTGGTGGCGGCGACGGCGGTGGTAGTGGTGGTGGTGTGATGGTGGTGGTGGTAGCGGCAACGGTGGTTACGGTGGTATGGTGGTGGTGGTGGCGGTGGTGGTGGTGGGTTGGTGGTGGTATGGTGGTGGTGGTGGCGGCGGCGGCGGTGGTAGTGGTGGTGGTGGTAGCGGCAACGGTGGTTACGGTGGTATGGTGGTGGTGGTGGTGGTGTGGTAGCGGTGGTATGGTGGTGGTGGCGGCGACGACGTTGGTTCCGGTGGTATGGTGTTGATGGTGGTAGTGATTGCGGTGGTGGTGTGGCGGTGGCGGCAGTAGTGGTGGTGATGGTGGTAGTGGTATGATGTTGAAGATGTTGGTGGTGGTGTGATGTTGGTGTAAAAGTTGGAAAATGACTTCCCCCCAAAAAAAGGGGAAGTCATTTTCCTCCAAAATAAGCCTATTTTCCAAAGTCAACGGAAAATGATTTCCGTTGACTTGATTTTCCAGGCACATCCAAACAATGGAAACTTGGAAAATCATTTCCAGAACTCATTTTCCAGGTTTCCAAACACACCCTAGATGTTCTCATACGTTCGAACCCAGGTGGGGGAGGCTTAGATTCTTTGGGCTGAAAGTGTTTGATAAATATATATAACAAATATTACCTGTAAATAATCATTAGTATTTTTTTAAAAAAATAATACTTTTTCTAATTTTAAAATGTTTAGGGAGTCTTTGGCAATTGAATGTCATCTTATAATTTGATCAAGTGATATTATTAACTAGTTATAAAAAGATATTTGATAAATTAATTGTTTATTTTTAGCTGATTACGTATAAAATGACGTAAAAATACATAATTATATTGTGCTATTTACTTAACTCTTAAAGTATTTTTATAATTTATTATTATCGTTGTGTTATTATTAATTTTTTAAAGAATTATTAATTATTTTGTTTTATTATTAATATTGTTATAATTATAAAGAAATACCTTGTATTTAATAATAATAATAATAATAATAATTGAATATTAAAAGTATAATTTCAAATAAAAATATAATAAACATAAGTTGTTAACAATAATTCAACATAACAGTTAATACAATTATATATATGTATGTGTGTGTGTCTTAGACAAATAGTCAATTCATATATCGGATTCTAGGCGATTTTTAATATTAAAAATATAAATTTGAATTAAAATTGAATAAATATAAACACCACAATAACCAACAACTATTAAGGGTAAATTAGACTTTTAAAACAAAAATGTAATAAATTTTTTTTTTTTTTTGGTAGAAACAAAAATGCAATAAGTTGATATCAATAAATTACTCAAAATAGTTTTTTTATTTTCATTTTATTGACATCAATAAATTAAGTCAAAAAATTATTTATCAAATACTCATATTAGTTTGTTTGACTATATTAGCTGTTTGAACAGTCAAACAAACTAAAATTAGTCAAACAAGGTAAAGTTGGTCAAACAGAGCTAGAATCTCGCTGGCAAGCCATTTTTGAAACACACCCTTAAAAATACTTCGTAGATTTTTTTTAAAGAAAAATAGTCAGATTTGTGTGAGAGCGTCTCACGTCCGTGACGACGCGTCAGGTCAATATGAAAATACAATACTTTTACATTTTGAAGTAAAAATATTACATTTTCCTTATAAATAATATTGGCAAGTTTGTTGCTTATAAAGTTATAAGGGAAAATGTACTCAGTATGTAATACTTTTGAATAAAAATGTAATATTTTTAAATCAAAATGTAAAGTATTACAGTACATTTTTTTGCAAAACTATTACTCCGTATATTTTTCCATATAAGTAAGAAACATTTTATTCCTTATTAATATTACATTTTTCAATATAAATATTACATTTTATATTGACCCGACCCATGGACAAAGACTTACTGTCTCAAAAAAGTTTTTGTCTTGAAAAAATAGTTAACAATTTACATTATTTTTTCATAAATAATAGAACTCTTTATTTTTATTAAAAAAAAAAAAAAAACTCAAATTAGTGTATTCTATCACCGATTTTAAATTGATTTTACTTAATAATTAAATAAAAAATTAATCTAATAGTCTAACATCATGAAATGAATATCAAGAGAAAAAATTAAAATACAGAGTGTAAAATCAGTTTATTTATACGTATTTACAAAAAATTGTACAAATACAAATTTTTTTCTAATATTTAGATGATAATAGAAACTTGTAGATATTACTCGAAAATATAGTAAACACTATTTTTGTATAAATAATACCAAAAATATCTTATATGACCAAAAAAAAAAAAAAAAAAAAAAAAAAAAAAAAAAAAAGGTGTGACATTCTAATACAATTGTTATATCCACCCAGTCCTACAATTCCATATTTCATTTATCGTTTTCCGTCTAATGCCTATGTAGTTGACTATCTTGTCATCCACCGGCCAAATTTGGCCATTGGCTATGGCTTTCCTTTTCTTTTTAAATTTTCTTACTAACCTAACTTAAATTATTATACTATTGAATTTCTCTAATTAGATTGATGCCATGTCTCATCGGTTAATCTCATGCTCAGCCTATTAAGGACATATATTATCCGAAAGAATAATGTTATTTTCCTCATTTGATTTTACTTTCTATAATTTTTGTAAACGTAACAATAAAATTATTTATATTCATTAACTACTTTGAATTATTTAATCATATTTAAATAATCTAAAAAATCATTATTCAACTATTAAAGCACTAATTGAGAATATATTATGATCTTCCCATAATGCTCTGTCGGGTCGGAGTGTGGGGCCCTTAGGGTTAGGAATTCAATCTTTTGGGAGAAGAGAATATATTCTGATCTCTCAATTAATAATCAAGGATCAACTTGTAAAAGCATCTCAAATACAGTTATTTTCCGTTCTAACTGGAAAATAGTTTCTGGACAATCAGCTGTTGCAGGTTCTGTTCCTTCATATCTTCCGTCAGTCCATGAACCAGCACCACTAAGTCCTAATCTAATTACTATTGTCATAATAATATGTCAATTACAAAGTGAGGTCTATACAATAAACACTAACACAAAAGAAACCAATCAAATATTGAGTTGTCTTGAGAGTGATACCCCAGATCAAGCCCCCTCCTATTCGGGGTCGGATAGTCTCACCCCACAAGCACCCATCCTTCATTTTGCTATTTCTTCGATTTGCCTCCATGAATATAGGGCATCATTTCATTCTCATATCCGGAAATGCACCGCAAGACTAGGCAAGTTGCTCCATCGCAATGGTGGCATATGTCTTTTAAGTCTCAAGCCTTTTCTTTCACTTGATCTCTTCTCCAATCCTCAATTAAATTTGTGTTCTTCATGCACCCTATCGATAAATTAAATTCCTCAAAGTGGTTTTTAATTTGTTGTTATGCGCACCTGCAGTCGATGACACTGTTTTCACTATGTAACGAACTTTTCTTGTAAATATTGAAAGAGAATGTAACATTATTCTACTTAAAATATAAGAGACTTTGTTTTATTACTTGTGTGGTTAATATATACAGGTAAGAATACAATAGAATAGCTTAATATAGCATATGTCATTGCTCAAGTGGAGTAAAGTGACTAATGAGATCATCTCCTTTCTTGTTTTTGTTCTCATTCCCTCATCTTGAAATTCCCATACAATGCAACAACATTCATGCAATACAAGGAGGAGCAAGGCATCTCGAAAAGAATCCAAACACTTTCTTCTGCACCCAAAAAAAAAAAACATATAAAAATATGATCGTTTGATAAATTTATAAATTCGATTTTATTTTAATTTATCAGATTAATTAAGTGAGACGAGAATAAAATTTGACTTGAATCGTACCCTGTTGCGTTGGTGAAGAAGCTCCGGGGGGATCTTATAGAGATCTTCATCTACCGGTTTAGGGCGTTGTGGGTGCGTGACATCCCTTATCGACTTCATACTAACTTGTTCTTGGAATTGCTTCTGTGAACCGGACCGGGTTTTCCCCGGTTCAATACCAACCGGCCTTTTCTGCCCCTTTGCATATTGGGGACAACTCTTGCCTCCCTTCACCTGCATATACGGCTATACGCGTCGCATTTATTAATGGGAGAATTTTTTATTTTTTTTAATGAAAAAATATATTATTTACGCACCTTTCTGGTAGGAACAGTAGTGGTATAAGCGGCGGAGCGACGCCGCGGCGGCGTCGGTGGTTGGTGGAAATTTTTTACGGCGTAGAGATCGTCCTCCCCGGCGCCACCATTAGCGGCGGTTATGTAGGGGTCGTATTCGGCGGAGTAGCGGATGAGGCCGGCCTGCCTGGCGCACTCGAAGTACTGGGTGATGGGGAGCCCATCCGCCTTGTCCCACTCGCCGAACGCCGGAATATGGCCGCTCCGTTTGCTCTCCTATACATACACACACATATATATATACAGCCCGGTCAACAATATACACATATCGATGCATGCATCTTCAGACAATAATGGTGTACACAAGAAAACGGAAAATGAAGAGAAACAAGAAAGAGAGCTTACTGTCGCCATGGCCGGAAAGAAAGAGATGTGAAGTGGGAGAAATCAAGAAAGTGATGATGAGAGTTTTTTAGTGGGGTGGGAGGCCAGGTAGGGTGGGTCGGTTTGTTGTGGTGGTGGGGTATGCCACTAGTTTTATAGGGTTTTCGACAACTTGGTTCTTCTCGAACAAAAAAGGTTAAAAGGCCAGTGATGTCTGTGAGGCACACACTATGTAGTACACATTTTGTTACTTGTGCAAAAAAAAAGGTCAAATTCTTAGTTCGACAATCCTTGTTACCTTTTAGGTGAGAGGATTAAGGTATATCCGTATGTATATGATAAAGCGTCACTCTCACAAGGTTGTTATGATTCGATCATATGTTATTGAATGTCTCTTTTACCTAATAACCAACTGATTGAATTACATGTGAGAGCGCCTATTTTGTTACTTAAATAAATAATTACGAATATATCATCATCGAAATATTGAAGCTCGAAATTATGGATTTCAAATGGATAGTGCAAGATTATTCAGTACTAGTCAAGCCCAATATATATACAATTGACAACAGTGGATCAAAATAAGAGAGTGTGAAGTCGGACTCCCATCCCAACTGGAACGACATATTAACTTTTTTTATTTGAGTCAATTCTCTATAAATATCTTAGGCTGATTTATTTAGTTGTGGTCTTTTATATCGACCATTAGATCAGATAGTGATTTTGTGTTTTCTTCGAGACTCAAAAAAATAAGAGAGCTTGTGATAGTAGAGTGATGAGTATCTTGGAATGTTAGGTGGGAGAAGCAATTAAGCTACAGCTATGGAGACCAATAGTTACTGCCATTGGAATATGAACTCTGCATTGCGTGTGGGAATGGGGATGGAATCATTTTTTTCGTAATTATCAAATACACAGTTTTTAATCACTATAATTATTTGACAAATTGCAGCTAATTAATAGGAACGTGATTACGTGCGTATATTATACAACACATCTCATAAAGCCATGTGGCGTGGAGGCGGTGGAGGTTTCCCGGCCGTGTACGGCGGTCAACAGCGTAACGCCCTGTCGGCGCGGCTGCCCATGCGGAGCACGTAAGCCATTGGTGACAAAAAGGAGCAATGTGAATGGCAGGTTTTAGTCAACTCCCCGGTCAGCGTGGCATGGGTACACAACAACAACGTTGTTGTTCACCGAGGTCACTGTTTGACTCACTAAGGGGGTGAAAAAAGCTAACTTTTAGGTGTATGTCGTTGACTAATGTGTCATAGAGATTCTATCTCCCCTTAATTTTTGCTGTTTACTGCCCGGGTCTTGCGCATAATACACCAGCATTTCGTGTTGTTGACCAACAAATCTCATATCCCAACACTATTAAAGAGTTTTCTCAATTCTCAATACTTACCTACGAAAAGGTAAAATGCTCTCGCTTCTAGAGCTCTCACACCCTAATCCAATAAGATACTGACGGATAAATCACAATGATTCATCAGCCCATTAGATAGAAGATTGTAATTTTCTCACTGCGTCTGTCAAGGCTCAATCTTGTGTCCGTGCATCAGGTTAGGTCGTGCCTTGGTATCTTGAGGTGTGCCAAGCCACATATAGTTAATTCACAAAAACCATCTTCATTTGATTTACAAGAAAGCCCACGGGATAAAATCCGATCCATCTTGTAACCCTAGCCAATATTAGTCTAGATTAGTCAAAACTGAACAATTCAAACCAAGAAAACTAATAAACAACTCATACGAAAAGTCGAACTTAAAACCTTATGGTTACAAAGTCAAAAAGCTATCTTCTATATTCACATACATGCTCAAAAGGGCAAATGAAGAAGATGCACTCAGAAGGAAAGAATGGGAAGAAGAAGCATGGGACTTTATAGTAATTCAATTTGAGTGTGTGTAACCATACATGGAGATGAAGAGGATGAATTGCATACCAACATATAACCTATATGAATATAAGATGTACTATACATTCAAGTTTCGAAATACTAACGAAGAATAAGACGATCATCGTGTTCATGGCCACTATTATCTTAGTTTCCTCAAAGGCAAAGCGCGACCGAATAGTTTCTCCACTTCACTTGCTTCCATTTGAAGCCCATCAAGAACTTCCTTTTCTTCTTTGCTCAGCTCCTTTAGGAAGTACTCTTCATCCTTCTGCAGTTCCTTCAAGCCTTCCAACAGTTTACTGAACAAATTGATTTCCTTACTTGTCACCTTCTCCACTTCACCTTCTATCTCTTCCACTTCTCTTATGATTGTCTTCTCTCCCTCTTCAACCGTCTTCTCCAGTCTCTCCACAAGGGGAGGTTCGGGTCCACAAGTATTGTCAGTTTTTATGAATTCGTCAAAATTACGCCCTACGCTCTGTGCTGCCCTCTGTACTTCGGGAACTATACTTTCTGGCAGAACAGCACTCCTCGTGTACAGTACAGCACCACCGTATCCATCCCATGCATCATTTTTTCCACGATAATATACAAATATATAATCATCTGGCGTATTTTCAACTTTGGATGACAATATATACCTGGATGAATATAGTCAATTGGGGAATGAAAGATCAGGTCTCTTTCAAGTTTCAATAAGTCAATCAATGAGTGAAAGCTAAGTCATTTGACTTATTTCTCAACAAAGCTCAAGGACTAACTTTATATATCTATATATATATAGAATCCTAATCATATGAGATTTGAGAACCACTCCCCAGGTGAGAACTTGTGGACAAATCCAAACCATTGATCTGCAAGATCTGATGGATGGGAAATCAAGTAAAAATGAGCGGGGTATATATATAATAGAAAGAGTTAGCTAGTTATTCTTCACTGCATCTTTTTTCCTTGCATATAATGATCAGGTCCTCGTTTTCAGGTTACTTATCTTGAAGTGTGAAGTCATATATGTGGGAAAGAAGTTGAAAATAGATGTAAATTCAGGCGGACAGTAAATATAAATGTATAAGAGAAATACCAGTCGTCTTCGTAGTGAAGATACTCATTGCCATGATTGTATAATATCCCTGGATATTGCGGATCTTGCACAAATTTCTGTAAAGCTGATCGAGTAAAAAATGCTCCGTCTGGTGTCCGTATCCGCCATGATATATTTCCCACAAGTTTGTTGTCTTCAACATGGAACTCGTGCAATTGGCAATCAAAAGTGTCAAAAGTGGGATTTAGTCCACGGGTTATAAACCATTTCCCATTGAAGTCTTTCATGTCAAAGCTTTTGACAAGAACACTTGGATCAGGAACAGGAAACTCGCCCACATCAGATTTACGTGGTACACATTTCTTTCTAGATACTGCACACTCGTTGAACTCATCTACTACGCTGTTTTCAAACAAATCACCGCACTTTATCTGCAAAGTTATAGGTCGTAAAGAATATGATCAATTTAGGTTTCCATGGGCATGAGGGTAGGAGCATTGAGGTATTTTTACGAGATGTGAATCACCTGGCATTCTGTTTCGTCAGGTCTGTTATTGCAAGTCTGGAGACAAGCAACATTGGCTGCACATGAAGGGTTTGCAATACATTTGGCAAGCTCCAACCTGAATCATTTGACAATTATTTATAAATAATAATAACAAAAATGATACAAACTAATACAAATTACTAATAAAGGGAATTTATACCATTATTGTCTCTTTATACTTAGAAATATCTATCCTAATGACTACAAACTAATACAAATTACTAATCAAAATAATAATATCACTTATATTGTCATGGTTTACGGATGATTTTGTGCTTTGGCTTTACGTATGAGGCAAGTAGATTCATAAAATACCTGCATTCTTTGAGTAAGCAAGTACAAGTTTTAAGAGCATCCACTGCATCGGCCTGTGGAATCACCATTAAGACAAATGCAGCTACGATAGCAGTTTGGGCAAAGTGGCTCCACTTCCTACCAATGATCAAGGGTAATGCCTTCCAGTATTTGCATATTTCCTATAGCAACTTACTATCAGCAACAGAGAACACAAAGAATGAAAACATAGATAGAAGTCATAGAACCAGGTCTACCCGAAACCTTAAGATATCATGGGCCTTGTTTGGTAACATAGTTAGCTTATCAGCCAATTTTGGCTTGTTTGACCACTATTAGCTGTTTGACTTGGTTAAACAGCCAATATAAGTGTTTGATTAATTAGCTTTTCGTAACAGCTTATTGCTCCAAAACGCTAAAATTCAAAAAACTGCTCAAAATTCGATCAGCTTTTTGAGAAAGTCATTTTACATGTAATAAGCTATCAGCTAATAGCTAATTTACCAAACATCTTTCTACAATCAGATAATGCTATGATTGCTATCAACTAGTCAAACCTACTAACCCAATCAACTAACATCTATTTACCAAACACCACCATAGTAAACAATGTGGAATCAAAACCTAAGAAAGAAGCATTCAAGTGTTTACCTTATACATATCCATGTTATTCTTGCTTGTCGAAGAGCTATTCTCTTTTCTAAGTAAAGGTGAGTCTGGGCATTTACGGCATCTAGGACCCAATGCACCGCATATCTTAGGAGCTTTAAGAAACTTCAGGTGTCTGGGTCTCCATCTATTTGGCAAGAATTTCACTATTACTAGACTCTCACAGAAGTCACCTGTGGTCCAGCTGCACTTATTATCACTCAGAACCTGCGATCCAATACGATAATGGATGGCCTGATTGGCAAGAAAATGCGATTGTAAAGCAAAGGCCATTCTTCAACCTGGAGACAGCCAATAGCAACCTAAATGTAGTTCAAATTACATGAGATTGTCTTGAGAAAACTAAATCAATAAAAAAACAATCAAAATCATATGCAGTATCAAATATCAATTCTTAAATGCAAAACTCAATCTGCTTGCACTTGTATAGGACAATGCAATCATATTTAGCCCTATAGTGCACTTAATAGCCATATTTTCCCTTTAGCGAGGATTCACTAAGCCAATTCATATGCTTTCTTATAGCAGTGATCCCTTGGGTTCTCCAGTAGCTATGCATATATTTCAAAAGGAGGGTTCTTAAGTTCTTCCCCAATTCCCTATCTATTTTCAAACCCAAAATCTTGAAATTTACACTGGCTTGTTATTGTTCTTTACCAAACCAAAATGCTGCCCTCATGACACTTAAGCTTAAACCAAATTTAATGCTGCTTAGTTCATCAAACCAGAAGACCTGCCCTAATACAAACTTCGAATTTATCAAAGATAAGCAAATTAAAGAAGTTTTTCCAAGGATGATTAGGTTTAAACTAAGGAAAATGAAGGTATGCAGGAGACATTGACAGATAGAAAACAAAAAAAAAAAAAAACAAAAAAAAAAAACAAACAAACCTGGGATTAAAGTGAGCAATGGCGCAGGGCAATGCGGGTAAAGCATAGAATTCGGGCAGAATGAAGAGCAAAAGGGAGAAAAATGAACGAAGGGCTAAGGAGCTTTCAGCTGGATAACACAATCTTGTGATGGTAAGCCTACCAACGTCACTCCATTTTTCTTGGACCAAATGTTAACAAAGAATCTAAATTTACTAGAGACCCTATAGCCGCTACCGAAAGATGTATTTTGAGTGAATTTTATCTTATAATTTAGTTGGTAAGAAGTTTAAAAGACGGTAAAGAGATAAATTAAGTTATCCATAATTAATTGACTCTGTATGATAAAAAGTTTAAAAGATTGCAAAGAGATAAATCATGAGCTGAATACTATGGTCTTGGAATGTCAATGTAGAGACGGTATAGTTGATAAGTTGAGGATGGTTAAAATTCAACATATGTTGAGAGAAGGCAACAAATGTGTGGATTGACTCGCTAATTAATCTGGGGCATGATTGGCCTGGGGGAACGTTGTTCTTGAGGAACTGCCAGATGGATTAAAAGATCTTCTTTTTGCTGATATCGGGAGTTTTCATACAATTTAGCCATAGTAACTGAAATTGAGAAAAATTAAATAGTTAAAATACTAAATTGATAGTTTTGAAAAACTCGTAGACAGCAATTAACAAGATTCCAAATAGTCATAGAACCAAAAATGAAATTTTCTCAAAAGTTTAATTGTCGCACCATGAGATATACATTAAAAGAGAAAAATAACAGTTTCTTTTGTATTATATAATAATATGAGAAAAACTCAACATCAAGGTGAGTCATCAATTTCCATATCTAAAAATAGTATAAGGGTGTAACCACAAAATATTAAAGTTATTGATAAATAAAGAAATATATATTTAACATTTTTTTGTTTAAAAGAAGATGACAGACGAGTGAAAGGGAGATGCGATAATAATTTTGGATTTGTGGGTTTTTTTTTTTAAATGTGACGAGGTAACTCGCAATTATTATTTAGAGATGTCTTTTTTTGCACAATAACTCATAAATTGATGCAAATCACACTATGTAGATTATGTGGGACTAGTTAAATTAAGAGATTATTGGTCATTTTAACTTATTTTATTCTTACCAAAACTATGTGGTCTAATGGTATCCAGGTTGGATTTTCATTTGAAAGGTTGTGAGTTTGAGCCTTAATAGAGGCGTTATTGGTTCTTTGTGTTTCAGTAGGTTAGAGAGTATATGAACAAATACTACATTGTTATTGGTTCTTTGTGTTTCAGTAGGTTGAAAGAGTATATGAACAAATACTCCCATGTGGCCAGGCCCCACAGATGCAAATATTTATAGAAAAATATGAAATAGTTGAAAAAAATTGCATATCATCTTTATTAATATGATATTCATAAATATTTTTTTATTTTAATTAAATCAAATTTAAATTTTTAAAAAAAATTTAAATACGATGATGCACATTTAAAACTTTTAGAATAGATATACTATATAATTCATAAAAAGTACATTTTCTTTTAAAATAACTTTCATAATTGAATTACAAAACATATTTCGTATCAATTAATTAATTGCTTAAAATATTTTTTATCACACATAACACATTATAATTTCACAACTAATATACAATTATGCTTATGAATAAATTTCACAAATCACAATTTTAATTATGATGTGAAGATAAAATTAAAATATAATTATATATTCAAACTGTATTAGGGAAAGATAAAATTAAAATATAAACACATACTTAAGGTGTGTTAAAGAAAGATAAATTTAAGGTGCTTTGGTTCGCACATGAAAATCGAAATTGTAATGGAATCAAATATTTGGTAATAGTAATGAGTTTTGGTGAAAATACTTTGCATGTTTGGTAATAAGGTGGAGTTGAAATGACTATCAATATTGATGTTTGGTTATGTATGACCATAATATAATGAAATAAATGTTTTAAAAATACAAAAATAAAAAATAAAAACACTTGATCCTAATATAGAGACATTCAAAGCATTGAAAAAAAAATCAAAACAAAAATATAAAAGTACTAATCCAAACTTAAAAATCAAACTACTAATAAGATGTAATGATATTTGTTTTAATTAGAGAATAAGATTCTTAATTGAAAGGATAATCAAATCTCACAGTTGAATTTTAAAAAGTTCTTCCAAAGGCTGAACCCCAACCCGACAGAGCATTTGGGAGGATGTAAATCATGGTAACTCAACTGGACATGAACCACAGAGGCTAGACCGGTGCTCACTGCGCACAAGGAACCCCCCTCACTGCCGCTGATGAGACTCGATCCATGGTCATTCTTTCAAAGTTTCACCTCTGTGACCAGTTGAGCTGCCCACACTGGTATAGAACACTTAAAAATCATTTTTAAACCAAAGAGCAAACTTTAAAATCATTTTTAAAAGTAAAGAGCACACTTATAAATCATTTTTAACACTAAAGAGCACTTAAAAATCATTTTTGAATTTTAAAAAGTTGTCAACCAAACATTAACTCTGATTTTAATTCTCACCCATTAAACACACCCTAAAATATAAATATATATACTTTGTACTTAAGTATATTAGAGGTTGCAATAAATAGTGTAGTTAGTAAAGTATGATATATAGAACTTTTCTAAAAAACAATTACTAACTACCAATTAAGCTATCTCGAATTTTGATAATTTTTATGTATAATAATATATATTATTTTATTTTACTAAAGAATATACTATATATACACACACATATATATAATATAATAATTTGGGGTGGTAGCTAAGGTGGCAAATGAACTCTCTTTATGAAGAAGAATTCCGAGATAACTCAAATTCGATTCTCACGAACAACAATTCTCCTTGGGCCAACTCCCATGATCTCCCGAAGCGAACAGAAATTCTATAATTATGAATATGAAGTTAAAAAATATGAATATAGAACTGTATTCACCTTGCAAGGTGGACACGGTTTCACGGCATAACAATTGGACAACTACCCCATTGGCCATTACGTGGGGATCCGCCCTGGGCCAGTAGGTCTTCTTTGGGGATATCGAAACTCCATAGCTCATATAACACAAGAGACAGATAAAAACATGCCCAGCAATCTCTAAGCTGTATACACTGGGAATCACGAAGCGCCATCATATAGAATATGCCGCACTCTTCTTATTTCCCAATGACGCCCACAACCTTATATATGTTCCCGCCATTTCCGATCCTTCTGTCAAATTTTTTGACAGAAAAAAACTAAAATATCAGAGAAGATCGATCGTTTGTTCCTTGCAGCTTATGGAAACAATCTTCAGAAGAGAAAATAATGGCGGCGAAGTACTTCTTCTTGACATGCATTGCCCTCACCTTAGCTGTTATAGGGACAAACCCTTCAACTGGTGACCAAGGTAAATTCAATTTTCTATTTGGAAATCTATCAATTTTGTAAGAAAAAAACAGATAAAAGTAAAATTAAAATGCATACACAATGGGCCAGAAAATGAGCTTAAAAAATATAGACTTAATTTGGTGGGGTGTGCCAGGCCAATAGTGCAACGCAAGGCAAATTATGTCCTGGACCCGTGTCCACATTGAATTGTGGACACGGGCCCAAAACGATGTCGTTTTTCAAAAAAAAATGCGTCATTTAGTTTTAAAAAAAAAAAATCGCGCGCGTTTTGTCGTTAACGGCGTTATTTTTTTTTTTTTTTTATTATGAATGTACAGTTATGGCGTTATGAATGTACAGTTATGCGGTTATGAATATACAGTTATGCAATTATGAAATTATGAACACAGAACTCTAACATTATGAACTTACAATTATGAATATATATAGTGATAAAATTATGACCATGGAGCTTTAAAATTGTGAATATAGAGCTTCGAAAATTATAAATGTACAGTTATGGAGTTATGAATGTACAGTTATAGAGTTATGAATCTACAGTTATGGAGTTATGAATCTACAGTATGGAATATGAATGTACAGTTATTGATCGAATTATGAACAAAGAGCTCTAACATTATGAACTTACTATTATGAACATATAGTGATAAAATTATGAACATAAAACTCTAAAATTGTGAACATAGAGTTTCAAAAATTATGAATGTACAGTTATAGAGTTATGAACGTACAATTATGGAGTTATGAATGTACAGTTATTAACATATAGTAATAAAATTATGAACATATACTCTTACAATAAAGCAATCTGAAATTTTTTTAAAAAAAATAAAACAAAAAAAAAAAAAAAAAAAAAAACATTGTTACCCGTGTCCAGCAAGCATGCTGGACACGGACCCAACGCATAACGATTGGCAACGCAACGGCAACACTTAAAAGCGCAGGTAGCAAGCTACCTTAATGGACTTTGCCCCTAAAAAACTGAGTTAATATCGTGTGCACCATTGGCCCACGTATCAAATATTAAACTGATAAGAACAGATACTACACTTGATCTTCTTAGCCAAAAGGCCAAGAAAGGTATGCTTTAACACAGCTTCGGCCCAGTTATTTTATAGCTTTGTACGTGCATCCGCTCCCTCTGTTTAAACGATATGGGACACTAAGCTGCTATCTTCAGTAGCAATAGCCACTCTGCTGTTCATCTTCTCCCTCTCTGTTGTGTCTTTTAATTATATACACAACATTACCATTTTTAAAACTCACAAACTAAACAAAAAATGGAATGACCAAGACACTTGAAACATAATAAATCTGTGATATAGCATAGAGAAATGAGAATGCTTTTTTTCATTTGATTTTTGCAATGAATAATGAAGTAAGAAACAACCTTAACCATGTCAAGTTCAGAGCCTGCATTCATGTGTCTGAATGGCCTCTTCATATGCCCAGAGAGAAATATGCCTTGTTTAATAATTGAGGGATCTGTCACTTTCAACATTTTTCAGAGTAATAGTATAAGAACACATTCAATCACACTTGTATACTTGTATTAAACTCTTTTTCACTCATATTTATCTCACAATATCTACGACCCTTAGGGATAGAAATAAGCTAGACCTCTTTGTAAGGGCATATGACCTAGTTTTGTTTTAACCTATCCTAACCTAGTCTATTTAGTAAAAATGTCAGACTTAGACCTATTTAGCTAAATAGAAACATGCCTATATGGCTATATATTCAAGGCCT